GTCGGGATGGTGTTAGTACTATTACTATAGTATTATCAAGAGTCGACAGAAACGTTGGAAGCTATGCCTAGTTTAGTAGTAGTAGTACAGCAGTTGTTAAGGGCATTGATTGCTTCGAATGTTTACTGTGATGGTGAGTTCAACAGTTCATCTGTGACAGGGGTTCTCAACTAGGCCTAGGCTAGACCTATATCGCAGTAGGGGTAAAAATGATTCATTGAATAAACACTGAATAAATTTTACATGACCTAGTTGGCATTACCTTACAGACGCGTGTGAATGCTTTTTATCTCGGCAGGAATAACTTGGGAGATCGCTCAGTTACAATTTGTTAAATTTAACTTCACGTGTGAATCGGGTATTAGTCACACTGTGACGTCATGCAAGGTAAATCGGTGCAGGTAGTTTAATTTGCTGAAAAAGGTGCAGGGGCGGAGCCAGGAATTCCACAAGGGGTCCAGCTCCCCGGCAAAGGGGGTCCAAGCTCCCTGACAATTGGTCCACCCCCTCCTCCCATTTTTTATATTCAAAAAGGATAATTTCATAGAAAACAATGCAAGTTAAGAGGCCCCTGTTTGGGTACTAACCGCCTGTCGGAGGTACCAGCCTCCTGTCAGGGAAGATCTGGTTCTACCACCGTATCCCATACGATCGCGATAGTATACAACACCAAGCACATACGGTAGCACTGCTCTCACTAAACAGTTTTTAATCCCTTAAATTTGACAGCTTAGTAAGGCATACCTAAATTTTATTTTCAGCAGTCGAGATTTCATTTTCCCCGATGACCTTGCTGGAAATTCTCCCGACAGGGGGCCCAAGCGGGGGTTCAGAGTTCCCCGACAGGGGTCCTTTGCCTCCCTGGACCCCTGGCTAGAGCCGCCCCTGGAAAGGTGTTTTTAAATTCTTATACTCCACTATACAGTAGGTAATACCTACTATAGCATGCTGACTTTGAATGGTAGACCTAGAATAATTTAGTTTCTTGATTTGAATTTCCTTATATTAATTTAGTCTTAAACGACTCTTAATTTTACTTTGAAAATACTTTAATAATTTTCTGTAGAAAGCTAAATAATTGCTTTATTAATACTTCAAATATTGAATTATATTTTGTAAAGTTCATTAGCTCAATCTAAACATCAATTTTTTACAATTTAATTCTTTATACCTGACAGTAGTACCATCAATGGCTATTATCTGCCAAACATAATATACTTTAACATAATTAAAGGTTAAAAGTTTAAAAAAAATTATCTAATGGTGGATTTGAATTACAAGTCAGAGGGGTCAAGTGCGAAAGAGTATAAGGAAGATATATGAGGACAAAAAAACTCAGATGGTCGACACTCTACAATAGGGGAGAGAAAAACTGTGTGTGTGAGGAACAGTCATGATGAGGGAATTAAGAAGGGAAAGAAAGAAAGAAAGAGCTGGTAGATTGTGTTTGGACAATTTCACCAATGGCAAATGAGCTTACACTTATTTCATTTCATTTATTTCGCCTTTTTTTTTTTTTTTTATCATAATACAGTAAAATATTCAGAAAATTCGAAAAGGTAATCCATGTTTCCCCCAAGAGCCGGCAAGGATTACCAAAAAGTAAAATAAATTACTGTCTGAGTGGCTCTCCATGCAATGGGGGAAACATGGACTAGCAGTATAATACATTATAAAAATATATAAATATATATATATAAATGTGAAAATACAAAAATAATTAACAATTAAAATATGTTCATTACTTATATTATTATTGTTATTTTTATTATTACTATTACTATTATTATTATTATTATTATAACAACAATAATAATAACTACAATAAT